GCAGCCTGCAGAGGGGGGGGGGGGGGGGGGGGGGGGGGGGGGGGGGGGGGGGGGGGGGGGGGGGGGGGGGGGGGGGGGGGGGGGGCGACACCATGTCCTCGTTTGTGGGACTAGACATCAGAATCATGATCTGAGGGGGCGAACTTACGAAGAACAACATTGTGCAGACTGAAGCTTACAGTCGGCCCATGTGGCAAGTGGCTGATCTAGTCTACAGTGAGCACATGAATATTTTCAACGGACACTGCACACTTACTGTCAGCGCTGTGGGATTTCCACGATGCTCGTGCAGTAGGACGAGGTCAGTCAACGCGTTGGATTTGCAGGACTGTACTAAATCTGGGAGAATCAGGTTTCCACGGTTGAGGCGTACGGACGTCCTACATGACTCTGGGTCAGCTTGGTGAAACCAAGGAGAGGGGGAAACGGTTGACATACGGTAGGAGCAACCTTATCTCCTTGGAAAAGGCGGCGAGACGGCTGGAGCAATCTCTAGAGGTCGTGACAAGGACTCTGGGTTCTGAAATGCCGCTCAGCATTGAGTATTCGTCGTCCAAGTCCATCTCCTCCTGGACGCTGAGCTCTGGCTTGGCCTGATCATACTGGAAATCCTTGCGAAGCGTCTTGTCTCGTGCGATTTCGGGATCGAGTGGTTTTCCGGCGGCGAGTGCGGATCGCAACTTGGCACGCTTCTCGCTGGTTTCTGCGTCTTTCAGAATCTGTGCCTTCCTGTAGAGGTAATCGCGGCGCTGTCGCGCCTGTTTGCGAATCATCGTGAGCGGTGCCACTGAGAGTTTGTAGGGTTGAATTCGCTATGCGCCGTTGATCTTCGAGGCCGTTCGGAATGGTTTGGTCTTCTCTGAGAGGCGGTGACTCGTAAATGATTGACGACGTAGGTCTTGTGTCCACACTAATTGCTTCGGCAAAGCTTGGGCGGTTTCTTGGACGGTGGTGCGGTATGAAGTGGTCGAGTTCGCGATCTATCGTCCGCCAACCCGCCCAAACTTTTTTCTTATCGATAAATCGAAACCGCAAACCACACCCCACCTGGCTAGCCCCATGCTCCAGCCACATGCGTTTTGTGGCGTGTGATGGCAGCCGCCATAGTCAGATCTAGGCTCTAGCGAATGGATTGACTTGGGGCTACTTCAAATGAAGGCAGAAAAATACTTGTGTATATTGTATATATATTGAGTTTTGCGTGATTCTCATTGTGCTCACACCAACTTTGACCCAAACTTTGTTCTGCAAATTTGGGGCTACATACCGTAACGGAAACCGTTGGATGAGATCGGGATTCCATCAAGACCCTACTGTTCAAGACCCATGCCTTTCGAACCGTTGTAGCAATTTTGGGGTCTGCGTTGGATGCACCACGGCTTCCGCTGGCAACGAACAGCTCCCAAGCTGACAAGCAGCTTTTTAGGACGGTCATCACGAACCAATGGGCAGTGTGTGAGGGCTGCAGTTGTTCACGGTGGTGGGCACTCGAGCTCTCCATGGACAAAGTTAAACATGAGATAATGAGACGATTCAGCGCACTGCTTGAGACTTACCTGTCAAGGTGGCCTGCCACGAGATTTCATCTAGGTGTACGGTACAGATATGCCTTTCGTTCTGGGCTTGGAATGGGCAGAGAAGCGGAAGCGAGGCCATGTGGGTAATTGTCATGGGAGTGCGTGTACAATGCAGACCCTGCCCTCCCTGCATGCTATTATTGCACGAGAACCGGGGGCTTAGATCGCCGAGAATGGCGGAATGAGTGATACCTACGCACAGCCACAAGATGGCGACGCTTTCCATGGCCGTGAGCTGAGCCGAGAGCTCCTCGCGCTTTACACCATTGGGCGGCAGAGCGACAGTTGATTCGCTGACAAGGCAAACCACGAGCATCGGAAGCCGCAAACCCGTTCACGGTGGCTATTTTTTCATTTTTGTTGTGGCGGGATTGGCGATCACATGTGCCGCTGCGGCCACTCAGTCCATCTCAAACTCCATCATCGTTTGGCCTAGCTGCCATTCGTCACCTATTCGGCAGCGAGATGGCTGGGTAATCTCCCACGCGCGAGAGAGAGAGAGGGAGAGAGAGAGAAATGGAATGGCAGGCGGGCAGGCCACATGCGGACCCAGGTGCGAGAGGACCGAGCCAGCCTCCCGTACCGCCGTCGGACCAACTCAGGTGCGTGAGACACTAAGGGGTGGGTATCTCGGTGTGGTGTAGGTACTAGGAGGGAGCCCGGCCGCCCCTACGGACACCGCAACATGGAAGAAAAAGCAATGCGTCCTGTGTACTTTTGTAGTAGGTAGGTATATAATAAGCTTCGCCCCGCCCGTCGTCACAACATGCCCTGATGTCACTGACCCTGTGTTCGGTTCATCACGTCCGTCCATGACCCAACTTGCCCTCTAAGATACAAAGCGTGTGTGAGGCACATTAAAGAGCGCTTCAATTCAGAAAGTGCTCTGGTTTCCGAAGCTTGTTTGTTTTGGGTTGCTTTGTTTTGTTTGTTTCCTTCCCGTCAGGCTTGTTTCCCTCCGGCAGGGAGAAAAAAAAGGTACATACTTTACCTACCTAGGTAGGTAGTGTAGGGACCCCGGAAAGAAGATCGGTCAATCCTACCCACTTGCGCCCCGTTCACGAGCACCTCCATCCAACCACGAACACAGCCCGGAGCATCCGCTCTGACGGGTCCCGGTGCCTGATTGGGTCCATACTCACTGTTATTTCAGCGTCTTTCCAGCACTTCCCAGTTCCCGTCAGCGCCCGGAAATCCAACGTCATTTAACCAGGCGACCCAGTCATCCGCCAAAACATCCTCTTTTTGCACCACCACAACACGCCCTCACGGGAGGCCCAGCTAAATCCTCTCAATCCATTCACACTTCGACAATCAACTTGGGGCGGCTCGAAACGCGCTGACTGCTGTCGATCGTATCGATAGTATCTTCCAAGTCAAAATGTCATACCAACAGTATAACCAAAACCCTTACGCCCAGGGCCCTCAGGCTGAGGCCGGGTATGAATACGGCAATCAGCAGGTCTGTCCCCAGTTCAATTGCTCACTCACTGCCTTGTTCCGGCGCGAAAGCGCAAATCCCATGGCCCACCGCTGACGCTTGCGATAGCCGCAATATGGCCAAGGCCAGTACGAAATGCAGCCTTACGGAGAGAATGACAAGTACGCCGAGCAGCCCGCGCCCATAATTATGAGCCAGCAAGACTTCCTCCAGCGCGTGCAATACCTGCGCTCGGAGATACAGGGCCTCACGTCCGATATCGAGAACATTGCCCAACTGCACCAGCGTTCACTCTCCTCTCCCGACAACAGCGCCAGCTACCAGCTCGAGCAGGCCGTCTCCGCGACCCAGCTGCGCAATACGGCAGTCAAGGACGGCATCAAAGCCCTCGAGAAGGACCTGGCCAAAACACGGGACGGGTCGCGCGCAACCAAGACCGCCCAGCTCAACTCGCTGAAGAATACTTTCAAGTCCGAACTCACAAAGTACCAGCAGATTGAGCAGGACTACCAGCGCCGGTACCGTGACCAAATCGCCCGCCAGTTCCGTATTGTCCACCCGGATGCGACGGAAGCCGAGGTCGAGGAGGCGACGCAGATGGACTGGGGCAACGAAGGTGTCTTTCAAGAAGCGGTGAGCTTTGGAGTTGCCTCCCTTTGGCCGAATTTCTCGGCTCGCCGACATTGCTGTACTAATTATGTCGCGAACAGCTCAAATCGAACCGGACAGGTCAGGCCAACTCCATCCTTGGCAATGTCAGAGCCCGTCACAATGAATTGCAGCGTATTGAGAAGACGCTCATCGAGCTGGCCACGCTCTACCAAGAAATGGCTACGCTTGTCGAGGCCCAGGAGCCTGTTGTCGAAGCCGCCGAGCAAAATGCCCAGCAGACTGTCGAAAACATCCAAAAGGGCAACGAAGAGGTTGAGACAGCCAACAAGCATGCCAGGAGGCGCAGAAAGCTCAAGTGGTGGTGCCTGCTCGTTGTCGTTCTCATCATCATCGCCATCGCACTGGGCGTCGGTCTGGGTATCACCTTATCCAGGAAAGGGGCCGAGACCGCGACTGGCCAATAAACAGGTTGCCCTGTGACACTCTTCGAGATTGGCATCGCAGTTAACCAGGATAAAGTAATCTGAGGACGGAGCAGGGTCTCGACCCGCTCCCGCATGACGGAAAGGGACAGTAATTGGAGAGAGAAGCATGACGAACATTTAGATTTCATGACGATGGCTCCGACGGGAGGGAGGCATTAATCAGGACATACGCACACAAAAGTCTGCCCGCCTTCGACGAAGCCACGACTTAGCCACGACTTCGCCGAGTCTTAGGACACGGCAAGCTCCTTGATTCCCCATCAACGATTGACTTATGCACGCATACTCTTCATACGATCAGACGGGTTGGGAGTGTTTCGGGGAGGGGCTATATACCTTTTACCTGTATTTATTCAGAGCGGTTCCTTCCCTCGTCCATTGGATGAGAAGGGACGGGGAGGAAAGGGGGCCGGCATTATTTCCTTGTACGTATCGCACAATAGCGACCAGTTACGAACTTGCACCATGACGTCCGCGGTTCCCAATGAATGTCCTTGTCTGTAAGAGCACCCTGGTAAGTACTTTTTATTTTTATTTTATTTTTACAAAACCTGCGACTTGCCTCATCCCCTTTATCGGGCCAAGGCAGCCATACGAGGAACCCGGCCGGTCCAGACTCAACTGTAGGCCCCCCGGGTTGGTCCGGCCGCAACCCCGGTCCTCCACAAGGCCCTCCTCCCCCCACCAACAAAAATTTGCACTTCGCGATGCCCCTCGCCTGCCCGTCAGGACATCCACTTCTCGCGCTCTCTCTCTCACATGCAAGAATCTCCATCTGCACTCGACCCGCTGCTCGCCCCCCAAGCCCTGCCCTAGAAGCCAGCGGCCCCGTCATTTCCCTTCGTCATAACCGTCTCCCCCCGCTCCCGTCTTCCAACAAGTACGGGTCCGGTGGTGTAGTTGGTTATCACGTCAGTCTAACAGCTTGAGAGGTTCGCCTAACGTCTGGTTGCACTGAAGGTCTCCGGTTCGAGCCCGGGCTGGATCACGACGGTTTGGGGCGATTGGTTTAGTGGTATAATGACCGCTTAGCATGGTTCATGACTTGCGGTAGGTCCTGGGTTCGATTCCCAGATCGTCCACTCCATCCTTTTTGTCAATCTCTCGCAGTCGGTGTCTATCTCGGCGGCTTTGGGCGTGTGAGGTGAGTGAGCAAGCAGGCTTATCTCCTGCGCGGTGAAGCCATCTTCGGACGCGGTATATGTGAGTCGGAACAGTACCAAGGCAAGTAAGTACCACGTGGTGCTTGCCTCTGGGAGAGGCCTGTTGCAGGCAGAATTGGGTAGGAAGTAGCTCGCAGAAGCATACATGGGCTGTATTTCCGCAGGAAGGCCGGATCGAATCGACGAGCAATGAAAACTGACGTCCCACCTGATCTCGCGCCATGCTTTCATTACCATTCATAGATAGATACTTAAGACATCCAAAACGGGTGTGCTTGCTGGACAAAGAATGCGCTCCAGGGAGATAAGAGAGCTAGAGGGATGGGAATGGTTACAAATGACAATGGACTAGTTCTACAATGCTTTCACCAATATACGCAAAGTGAGGGAAGTCGGTGTATGTACAACGTAAAGGGTTCGACCCATGCCTCCCTGCCGTTTGTAGCCGTGGACTTCACCCTCCTTCCTATCCCAAAGCTCCCCCTTCGCCCAGCCAACAAAAACACACGACGTAGCGAGCGGGCGACTTGCCCGCTCTGATATTTTCCCCATTACCAACCAGGACCCCAATCGTCCAGGCTGCCCGCTCCCCCATGTACTTGGGAGCTGTGTTTCTCTCTTCTTACACGACACCAGTGGGTGAGTTTTACATGCTGTCCGTTACCTTGATAGGTCATTTACCGGGGCATGCCACCTGGGCCGATGCCCTGGAGCTTGGCCGCCAGCTTCGGGTACTTCTCCTGTACCTGGAGCTGCGTGCGCGTCGCCTCGGCGTAGGACAGAGCATTGACGATCTCGCCCTCGGTGCGGGCGAGCTCTGCGGCACGCTCAAAGTACTTGAGCGCCTCGGTAACTTTGCCCTGCTGCAACAACAGCTGGGCCATGGTCGCAACAGCAATGTCGCATTCGGGGTCGACTGCTCCGAGATTAGCGGCAGAATTCAAACAGGGGCCTACATGTCACTTACTGATGAGCGCCTTCTGGCACAGCTTCTCGGCCTCGCCAAAGTCCTGCTTCCACTGGAAGAGGGTGAGGGCCTTGTTGATAAGAGGAAGAACGTTCATGGCCATGGGCTTCGTCTTGGACTCCATGTCGATGGCGCTGTCGAACTTCTCGATGGCCTCCTGGAAGTTGCCCTGGTCAAGGAGCAACTCACCGTAGTAGTTGTAGACATCGGGGACCTCTTTGAAATTCTTGATGCAACGACGGAAGGTTGACATGGACGATGCGATAGAGCCCATCTTGTACTGGGTGACACCAAGCTGGATGTGGGAGAAGATGAAGTCGCGATCCAAGTCAATCGACTTCTGGTAGTCCTTGGCGGCGTCCGAGAACTCGCCCTTGATGAAGTGCAGCTGAGCACGGTGGTAGTAAATGTCGGGGTCCTCGCTGTTCTGCTCCATGGCCTTCTCAAAGTCTTCTGCGGCCTTGTCGGGGGCGCCAAGCTCGAGGTTCATACTGGCGCGCTTGATGTAGCTCTGGGTCATGGAGGGGTCCAGCTCAATGCTCTTGGACAAGTCGGCCATGGCGTCGTCGTGCTTTCCGAGCAGGCAGCTGAAAGTGCCGCGGAGGTTGTATGCCAGGGCCTCGAACTCGCCGAGTTCGCCCAGCTCCAGGGACTTCTCGAAGGCAGCTCTCGCCTCCTCGTAGCCGTCGCCGGTCTTCTTCTCCAATGCTCTCAACCCGAGCTGCAACTGACCCTTGCCGGTGTCCTCGGACAGAACAACAGAGTCCTCCAGACCGGCCGGGCGAGGCTTGACGCGGAAGCTCTGCAGATAATTGCCGACAAACGTGTGGCTGGGCAGCTTGGTGGGACGGTCGGCCATCATCTCCTGGGCTTTCTGCTCGGCGAACTTCTTAAGCAGACGTTCGACAGACTGCGCACTGCTCTCGTTCTTGAAGCTGTCGATGATACAGGAGGCTGTGAAGTCGAGAAGTGCCTCGCCATACATCTTGAGGTGCTCGTAGGCATTAGCTCGGCGGTTCAGGGCCTTGACGTATTCGGGGTCGAGGTTGATGGCGGCGGTCGTGTCTTCGACAACCTTATCCCAGTTGCCCAATGCATTGTAGCAGGCGGCACGGTTAGAGTAAAAGATGGGGTTGGCTTTGCAGAGGATCGCCTTCGAGTAAAGTTCGATGGCTTTGTTGTAGTCCTTGCTGCCATAGGCCTGGTTGCCGACGTCCTTCAACTTGGCGGCGTACCGCTCTCGCTCTTCCGGGGTGAAGCTCGCAACAGTCGTCTCGTCAATCTCGGGAAGTTCATCGGCGGTCTCGACGGCAGCAGCCTTGGGTCGCGTAGAGGCTGAAGCCTCTGCAGGTGTGGGCAGCTTTTCTGTCTCGGCCGCCTTCCGTTCGGCCTCCTTTCTTTTCCTCCTCTCCTTCTTGCTCAGCTTTGGTGTCGAGTCATTCTTCTGCATTCACGGCAGTGGTTAGTTTCAATTTTTGCGGAGCAGGATTCAGCGGTGGCAAGCTGCGCTACGATCTCGGTGATAACGGCTGGGGAAAAAATTGGATCGCATGACAACAGGCATCGCGAAAAAGGAGATGGAATGGATGACGTACGGAGTCGCTGTTGAGGAAGTAGATGACACCGGCGCCAGTAGCGACGACGGCGACACCGGCGGCAGTGTAGACAATGGCCTTGTTGTCCGCGGCCCAGGTGGTGATGCGCTCCCAGAGGCCAGAAGACGAATCAACGGGAATGACAGTCGGAGGACTGGCCATGGGAGGCACGGACGGCAAAGGATTCGACATTTTAGCAATTGGCCGGGGCAATTGGTCAAAGACAAGCAAGGTACCAAGGGGGTTACAGGAAGAAAAGTCGCGGGATCGAAAAGGAAAGGAATTAATGGGCAGACCAGCTTGGTCGATGGTGTGGAGGTTTGGTTACAAGAGCTGCACGTTGGTTGGCAGTGTTGCTGTTGCGGATGCGCTGGGCCAGGAGCTTCCGAGCAGTAGCCGCAGACGAAAAATTATTGCGCGACGGGGAAGCTTGTGAGGAGTTTTTCCGGGCAGTTGTCTCTGATCAGCTTGCCGTCATTCACCAAATCACCTTGCGTCAGTCGATTTTAGAGTGGGGTCGCAAGGGATGGTCACCTAAAGCTGCACACTACGTAACCAAAGAGGGTCTACGACGCTCTCGGAGCAGGGATGCGTTGGCCAGCGGTGAGTATTTAGTCAGGGTAGGAAGTACCTAGGTAGGATGGGTACTTACATACCTAGTAACTGGCAGTTCTTCTAGCCGTCATTGCCACGACAAACCCAGAGTTTTTGGTCTTACATGGCATCAAAGTCTCGCCCTTCTTCAATGATCTCTAATTTAACGTTTGAAAGTGCCTGTGATGCTGTGTTTGCACTCAGAACGAGTCGAGCCGTGCCTCATTGGTATAAACAAAATACAAAGATACAAAAATCTTGGCTGATAGATGGTAGTTAGTCTTGGCTATCTTGTTTTGCTTGGTTGGTACTCTCAGACGCCTCGATTGGATAAATCATACCGATATCAAATACGGAAGGATAGAGACAAACGTTCCTCTTCTCAATGCTGTTGTGGCATACAAACAATGATAGGGCCATCGACAGTAAAGTAGGTGATCAGAGAAGGGATGCGCACAATACCTTCTTTTGAACCTCGTTTTCAGGGCCAATCGGGCTACGAATACAAGTGGTTACGTCTAGGTTGGGGCTCAGCAACTGACATAGCAACCTCATCGGCGACTGCTTGCTCATGGAAGGGCTCGGAATATTGGAGGCTGCAGTCACCTATCCATTTCTCAAGCCTAAATGTGATGTGGATCCATCCTTGATACACCGATTGATTAATGCCAACAACTGACAGGATATTATTAGTCAACACCTGCCCAAGTTCTGTCTTTATGAAATCTGGCAGTGTCCAGGGAAATATGACCTGCAGTGGAATAGAATTGACTCGACCGGTCTGTGGCCCCATACGCTTATAGCATTGTTATTCTCGATGAGGTGTGAGATAGTTTGACTATCGAGAGTGGCACGCATGAAGCAGTGCGGCTTTCTTATGTAATCACCGTGGCAGATCTTTATGGCGCAACATTTTTCCCACATGGAGGGTTTGTATTATCATCAATCGGTTGTTTACTCGGCGAATCCTTCAAACCTGAAGCGACTCCTGCATTATCTCTTCTAAGTTTTCCCATCGGGCGTCCATAAACCTGCTGCTCATCTGTCCCCAACGAAAACCCCTCGAGTCGCTACCTCTCCCCTCTCAGCTATCAGACCATCGTTCGCCATAAGATCTGTTAGTCACTCATCAGTCTGCAATTTTATCAAACGTGGCCTTTACGACGGCTATTTATCACGATGCCCAAAGATTTCCAGTTATTCACCTCCCTAAGATACGAACCAGGCCTGCTCAGTGTACCCAAGAGTCGCCTTGCCGATGCGGGGTGGAACGCCAAAATGACATCCCCCTTTTACATGCTGGACCTTCATCGGGATCGGATGCTGAGAGCTGCCACTCACTGGAATTGGACCTCTGCCATCGAGACTATCTCGGGAGCGGCCGGTCTCCAAAGGCTGACTGAGGCGATTGAGTCTTTCTTGGCCCAATACGGAAAGGAAAGTGCTCTGAGAGTCAAGGTTTTGCTGAGCTCGGAAGGCAAGCTCAGCTGCGAAGCATCAAGCGTTCCCGCGGTGCCTCTGGAGAACCTTTTCCCGGAGCGGCTCCCGCCGCCAGGAAGCTCTCATCAGGCTGGAGATCCGTCAGAGGATTCCCCTATGGAGGTGGTGATTGATAAAATGGAGACCCCGCAATCAGAATACACTCACTTCAAGACAACAAAGCGGGCCA